CCCCCCCCCCCCCCCCCCCCAGTCCCAGTGATGCTCCTGGGGCCTGGAAGTCCCAGTGCTGCGGGTCTACCAGTGAGTACGCTTGGGGCACAGGTATGTGAGGGTAGAAGGGGGGCATGAAGGAGGATGCAGGGCAGGATGGGAGGGGGCAGGGGTTGCACTGAGGGACATGGGGCGATGCGGGGGATCATGGGGCTAAGGGGAGTGGGCTGGAGCAGAGTGAAGATGTGAGGGGAGATACAATTTTACTTTGCAGAAGCTGCACTTTCTTTACTCTCCACTTCTTTGCCTCCATCCCCAACTATCTATTTGGCTGCGTTCTCACCCTATCACCTTTTCTGCATTACTCCCTCTTGTACCCCCAGCCCATACCCTCATGCAGCCAAACTCTCTTCCAGATCCTGCCCTTCTCGTCCAGTTTTTCACCTCACCTCCCACCCAGATTCTGCATTCCTATCTCACTTGATGGCAGTCCTGTCCTATATATTGAATCCCTCATTTTTGTTCCCACCCCAGAGCATAAGGGGGTCCACAAAATCCACTAGCTCTGGAACCCCAGAAAAGTAAATCTGGCCTATGGGAAGCCTTGAACCTCAGTCCTCTCTGTCCCTTCCCCTCACCCCTTGGGGCTGGAGTGCCAGAGGAGTGAGGTGTCTCAGTTGGGAGATTTAGAGGTTTTTTTGCTTCTCACTTGTCTGGTCCCCAACTGACTTTTCTGTGGGTCAGTAGCCCCCAACCCAAGAAGGGTTCCCCACCCCTGCCATAAATAAAGAAAACATTGAAACCTTTTGTAATGTACATAATATTTTACTTTATTGAAAATGAAATTTGATAAACTAATGAGAGTTAAAATGCTTAGTCTGTTTAATAATTTAAAGTAAACCATTCTCCCCAGCTCCAACACTAGCAAAATGGTTGGGGTATAATTATGTAATTAACAGTGAGTTTCCATTAGCAACTGGTAGGCCACGGAAAGGTTTGCATTGACTAAAGTGGCCCACT